TGGAAAAATCCACGAAAGTTTAAATGTTGATTTGATAGCGTTCTTTTATTTATTTGTCCTCGTAAACAGTTTTGTTAAAATACCGAAATCGGTAAATTCTTATCGTGAAAGAATAAGTCGGGTACACCTTTTTACATTCAGGCGTACTTTAGTTGGACTTTTTTCTTCTTAATAAGACAAATGATTTTAATTCAAGAATACTAGTATATCTAAAGATTAGATTATTTACACACACACAAAAATAGGGCTAACTGTTGATTTGGAAACACTATGAATTCACATTTATATTCAACCAAATAGATAGGCCGAGATCCATACATTTATAAGTTTCAAAACAGAGAAGGTGTGTTTGAAAACAAATAATCACGTGCTGCTACATGTATATCTTTTAAAGCAAATGCAAGTCTTACTTGTATTAATTATATAATTTTAATTGGCACAATATCACATTAAAATTTACTGAGAAATATTATACATAGTAATCATGAAAATGTACTACAATGAGAATTCGGACGAATACACTCCTTCTCACTATAGCTACCCCTCCATCTACTACTTTAAGTTTAGGCCAAACAGCCTTCGCAACAGTGTTTTATTCGTTTTTCCCTGCAAATAAAAAGACTGATTGATAAAATTGAGAATGGAAATGGGGAATGTGTCAAAGAGACAACAACCCGCCCATAGAACAGACAACAGCAGAAGGTCATCAACAGGTCTTCAATGCAGCGAGAAATTCCCGCACCCGGAGGCGTCCTTCAGCTGGCCCCTAAACAAATATATACTAGTTCAGTGATATGAACGCCATACTAAACTCCAAATTGTACACAAGAAACTAAAATTAAAAATAATACAAGACTAACAAAGGCTAGAGGCTCCTGACTTGGGACAGGCGCAAAAATGCGGCGGGGTTAAACATGTTTATGAGATCTCAACCCTCCCCCTATACCTCTAGCCAATGTAGAAAAGTAAACGCATAACAATACGCACATTAAAGTTCAGTTCAAGAGAAGTCCGAGTCTGATGTCAGAAGATGTAACCAAAGAAAATAAACAAAATGACAATAATACATAAATAACAACAGACTACTAGCAGTTAACTGACATGCCAGCTCCAGACTTCAATTAAACTGATTGAAAGATTATGTCTTCATCATATGAATATATTAGGCACAATCCTTCCCGTTAGGGGTTTAGTATCATACCATCATAACATATATGAGAAGAACATAGCCCGTGTCATGCCAACAACTGGTTTTTAAATAAATGTGTTTAGTGCCGATGCAAAGACCCTATAAGTGAATCAATATTAACGCCAAAATATGCAATCTTTAATGACCTGACAACAGTATCGTAACTATATCCCTTCTTAATAAGTCTATTTAAAGGTTTTGTTAGCTTCAGAGGTGAATACTGACATTTTTGTGCTTTATAAAGAATATTTCCATAAAAAATTGGATGTGAAATACCTGAACGTATAAGAAGTCTGCATGTTGAGCTATATTTACGAATGATGTCCTTATACCGATGATAAAATTTAGTAAATGTTTTGACTAGTTTGTGATATCGAAAACCCTGGTGTAATAATTTTTCAGTAATACATAAATTTCTCTCGTTAAAATCTAAAACATTGTTACATACACGAGCGAATCGTACAAGTTGAGATATATAAACACCGTAAGATGGTGACAAGGGAACGTCACCATCTAAAAATGGATAATTAACGATAGGAAATGAAAAATCATCTCTTTTATCATATATTTTAGTATTAATTAGCTTTCCATTAATGATATAGATATCAAGATCGAGGAAAGGGCAGTGGTCATTGTTAGTATTAGCTTTATTTAAAGTAAGTTCAACAGGATAAATTTCTTTAGTATACATACTGAAGTCGTCATTATTGAGAGCCAAAATATCATCCAAATATCTAAAAGTATTATTAAATTTGTGTATCAGATGTTGTTTCGATGGGTCTTTGCTGATTTTTGTCATAAATTGTAACTCATAGCAATACAAAAAAAGGTCCGCAATAAGTGGTGCACAGTTAGTTCCCATTGGAATTCCGATAACCTGACGATATACGGAATCTCCAAAGCGAACAAAAATGTTATCTAGTAAAAATTCAAGGGCATATATAGTATCAAAGCATGTCCAATTGACATAGTTTTTTTGTTTATTGCTACTAAAAAATGACCTAAAAGAGTTTGAACATATATATTCACATTCTGACTTTTTAAATGCCCATTTAATTAGGTGTGTGAATTTTTTCTTAATGAGAATGTAAGGCAATGTGGTATATAGGGTAGAAAAATCAAAACTTTGAACAGATTCAAAATCACCAATATATGCATGTAATTTATCAAGTACTTCCAACGAGTTCTTGACACTCCAAAAGTAATAAATTCCACTATTTTTGAAGGCCTTATTTGAACAATTTATTATCAGGTTTTTGATTGTACCAAGTGTACTGGTAAGAAGAATAGACAATTTAGTAGTGGAACAATGGCTTGAAGACGAAATGAATCTATATTTGTAAGGCGTTTTGTGTAGCTTCGGAAGCCAATACATAGTTGGGACTTTTATTGTATTTGGTTCTGCTTGTAAAGCGGTAGCTAAAAGTTTATGTTTGTTACAGATGTCGTTTTCTGAAAATGGAGTCAGTTGGAATGTTGGTGAATTGATGATTTCTTTTTTCAGAACCTCAATGTAAAATTTACGTCAAACAATAATAATTTTATTAGCAGCTTTATCGGCCGGGACAAAAACAAATTCCTTGGCTAGTTCTTTTAGTTTATGTTTGATACGAGAAATAGGTTTATTGTGGTTATTGTTAAGAGTAAAATGTTCTTTAAAATGTTGAATACGTATATCAACTATGTTCATTACTGAATTAAAAAAAGAGTCCAAAGATTTTTTGTCAGCTTTTTCCCGTTTTATCCATTTCAAACAGTAAGTATGGAGTGAGTCGTGGATGATATTACGACACTCATTCCAATTAATAATTGACGGGGGACGATATTTAGGTCCTTTACTGAGGAATGATTTTAACTCTCGGATTTGGACGATGTTAAGATCTCCTGTTATAACATGGGAAATGGGTCCATAAATGTATTCGGAATTACTGCAATTACATGAAGTAGGTGTATTTTCACTAATATTAACATCTTTACACAATTGGCTATAATTAAACACAAATTTCCGGGTAGATTTCTTGTAAATATAACAAATAAGAGGGAGCTCAGTATTATCAAAATATCCCGGAATTTGTTCTTTAACAGAATGGTCGTTAAAAATACCGGCAATATTTACAAAATCAAAACCTTTATTGACATACTTTAGTTTAATAAACTGTCTTTTATGATCTTCAGGGCGATCAATTTTGGGAAACAGTTTAGAATAACAATATGCCATTATAATTTGAACGATTTCATACTTAGGACTGCTATATGAAATTGTGTTGCAATACTCTAAAATTTTATTTAACTTATTAACCGGTAATGAACAGAGCTTTGTTAACAGATAATGTCTGCCGTTGTTTTTTGAAATAGAAATTAGGTCCGAAATATTGGTATGATTGGTCCGAAATTTTCTTTCATTGCGATTTTTTCTATGACCATAAGAACGGTTTTTACGAACAGTTTTAGAAACTATATCCAAAATGTTAACAGAATCGGTTCTTGATATATTACCAATTTACTTAATTTACTTAATTTACTGAATTTACTTTAAAAAAAAAATAAAATACAATCTTAATTTCAAGTAGATTAATTCGAAACACAATTCATGATTTATTTCTTCTAATTTTCAATGGAAAAAAGATATTTTCTTCACTTTTCTTTTAACAAACTATTCGTTTCAGAAATTAAAAAAATAAACAATGTATTTAACCCAGCACATCCTTAAAGTGTCTGTCCGAAGTCACGAGCCTGTACATGTAGTTCGGTGGTTGTCGTTGGTTCATCTCTATCGTATTTGTTGTTTTTCGTACATTGTGTTGTTATGAGTTAGGCCGTTAGTTTTCTTGTTCCTTCCATATTTTTCATGTCGGGGCTTTTTAAATCCGACTATAAGGTACGTGTTTTCGTTGTTGAATGCCGGACGAGAGCATATAATTGCTTAGTACATACACTTTATTTGACCCTGGTGATAAGTTATCTTATTTGCAATCATACCACATCTCCACTGTTTATATTAAAAAAAACATTCTTTCAAGCACCAAGGAAAGATGGTGAATGGTCGTTTTTTTTTTTATTGAACTTACAAAATTTCACCCTGACAACAAATAAGACAACAGTCGTTAGTAGTATAACGATATATGAATGTCTTTAGGATAATATGGTCGAAAAAAAAACTTTTTCTCTTTAAAAACACAAAGTCGAATAGAGGTACGCAACGACGACTTCTGAACGAAATTAACGGCATATATTTTATAACATTTGATATGTAGTTTATTTTGTATATTTCATCTTTAAATTACAATATATTGCAAGACGCCGTACAGACAAAAGTTGTTATTTTGCAATTCGCCGTACAACGTTCTGCAATTCGCCGTACAATAAACAAACAATGTTTTGATCCATATTCTTTAAAAAAACATCTTTTTGACAACAAATCACAGTAAATATGATGTCACATTATCATAATCTAAAAACGTGTCTGGAAAAATAATGAAAAACAGTTGAATATCTTGCCAATGGGGCGACAGAGGACGATCGACCTCGAAATTTTCGGGTACTAAGTGGCAAGAATTGGAGTATAACACAAAATCTTGTCATAATTTTGTACTTATCGGCCTAATAATTTAAAGTATTATATATCAGAAAATCATTTCTTAAGCGGTACCCTCGTCAAATCAGTAGAAATACTTTAAATTGAATGAATTCTTACCTTGTTTACTTTTTTCATTTTCTCTCCGCTTCGTTAGTACCCAATTTCCGGTGGCGATGATACACAGTGATTTTATGTTAATAAAAATAGTGAATAAAAATGAAAACTGAATATTACCTTTTTTGTTTTCACCCAAGGACTGCATCCCTGATCTATTAACCATTTTGTTACATCGATCTGTCCATACTCAGCAGCCCAATGTAAAGCTGTTTGTCCAAACTATAACAATATAAAAATATAAACATATTAATGGTGTGTGATAATAAATCAAGAGAGGAGTCAAACAATTTATCAAATTGTAAGAAATATAACATCTGGTTAGATATATAAACAATTATACTTATGTATAAACTGCTAAATGGTAGAATAAGATATATAAACTAAATATATATTTTCTGATTTAGTTCTACAAAACAGGAAAAATAATAGTAAACCCGACTTAATATCAGTCTAACAATTCAAAGTTTAAATATTTGTTGTCCATTTAACATGTCTGATTAACAAAATGATTTTGTGTAGATTCAGTTAAATAATCAAAGTTGAAAAAAAAACTTTTTTCAAGAAACATTAAAACAAGTAATATTTTCTGATTCAGTACAAAGAGACAAGAAAAATAAGACCCCACTTTATATAATTCTGTCAAATATTTGTTATTTTTAAAAGATGTTTTACATTAGATCTGTAGAATTAACATTATCTGACTAAAGATGTTAACACAACTTTTTCTCATCAACTTCTCATTAAAATCAAATGTTTACAAAATAATTTTTCCTCAAGAATCAAAATAAAACCTTTACTATCTGATTCAGTTCTGTGTTATGAATAAAATGAGACCCCACTTTATATAATTCTAACAAATATTTGTTGTCCATTAAACCTGTCTGATTAACAACATGATTTTGTGTAGATTCTGTATAAACTTATGTTTTGTCAGAGTAAGGTCATTATATATATCATTACCTCGTCTGTGACTTCTAACTGACTGCCGTGAGTGGCCAGGTACGTCACCACCTCCAGGTGTCCTCCCAAGGCAGCCAACATTAATGGTGTCCTTTCCCACTGTAATATCAACATATAACAGACATCAAAACTTGTGTCATAAACTGGACAATGTTGTGTAATAAATATAAACAAAATATATATCACATGAATCAGTGGTCAAAACTGAATAAAATGACCAGTCACACTTGTATTTATATTCTACATAAACAACAAATAAACAACATGTTTTATTGTGAGATGTCAGAACTTCCATCAGAACTGTCAGGTTAAAAAAAAAACTTTTTTCTAGAAACATAAACAATATTTATATCAATGGACTCAGCTGGACAAGACGATTAAAATGAGACCCCACTTTATATAATTCTAATAAATATTTGTTGTCCATTAAATCTGTTTTCTTTTCTATGATTAAGTAGAATGATCAAATTTAAAAAAAAACTTTTTTTCAAGAAATATAAAAACGAGTTATATTTTCTGATTCAGTACGACAAGACATAAAAAATAAGACCCCACTTTATATAATTCTGTCAAATATTTGTTATTTTTAAAAGATGTTTTACATTAGATCTGTAGAATTAAATTAACATTATCTGACTAAAGATGTTAACACAACTTTTTCTCATCAACTTCTCATTAAAATCAAATGTTTACAAAATAATTTTTTGTCAGGAAACAAAATAAAACCTTTACTATCTGATTCAGTTCTGTGTTACGAATAAAATGAGACCCCACTTTATATAATTCTAACAAATATTTGTTGTCCATTAAACCTGTCTGATTAACAACATGATTTTGTGTCGATTCTGTATAAAGTGAAGTTTTGTCAGAGTAAGTAGATTATATCTATCATTACCACGGTGTCTGTGACCTCTAACTGACTGCCGTGAGTGGCCAGGTACGTCACTACCTCCAGGTGTCCAAACCAGGCAGCCAACATTAATGGTGTCATTCCTCTCTGTAATATCAACATATAACAGACATCAAAACTTGTGTCATAAACTGGACAATGTTGTGTAATAAATATAAACAAAATATATATCACATGAATCAGTGGTCAAAACTGAATAAAATGACCAGTCACACTTGTATTTATATTCAACATAAACAACAAATAAACAACATGTTTTATTGTCAGATGTCAGAACTTCCATCAGAACTGTAAGGTTAAAAAAAAAAACTTTTTTCAAGAAACATAAACAATATTTATATCAATGGACTCAGCTGGACAAGACAATTAAAATGAGACCCCACTTTATATAATTCTAACAAATATTTGTTGTCCATTTAACATATCTGATTAATGATAGAATTTTGTGTTGATTCTGTAGAATGATCAAAGTTAAAAAAAAAAACTTTTTTCATTAAACATTAAAACGAGTTATATTTTCTGATTCAGTACAAACAGACAAGAAAAATAAGACCCCACTTTATATAATTCTGTCAAGTATTTGTTATTTTTAAAAGATGTTTTACATTAGATCTGTAGAATTAACATTATCTGACTAAAGATGTTAACACAACTTTTTCTCATCAACTTCTCATTAAAATCAAATGTTTACAAAATAATTTTTCGTCAGGAAACAAAATAAAACCTTTACTATCTGATTCAGTTCTGTGTTACGAATAAAATGAGACCCCACTTTATATAATTCTAACAAATATTTGTTGTCCATTAAACCTGTCTGATTAACAACATGATTTTGTGTAGATTCTGTATAAAGTGAAGTTTTGTCAGAGTAAGTAGATTATATCTATCATTACCACCCTGTCTGTGACTTCTAACTGACTGCCGTGAGTGACCAGGTATGTCACCACCTCCAGGTGTCCTCTCCAGGCAGCCCACATTAATGGTGTCCTTCCAAACTGTGATATCAACATATAACAGACATCAAAACTTGTGTCATAAACTGGACAATGTTGTGTAATAAATATAAACAAAATATATATCACATGAATCAGTGGTCAAAACTGAATAAAATGACCAGTCACACTTGTATTTATATTCTACATAAACAACAAATAAACAACATGTTTTATTGTCAGATGTCAGAACTTCCATCAGAACTGTCAGGTTAAAAAAATAACTTTTTTCTAGAAACATAAACAATATTTATATCAATGGACTCAGCTGGACAAAACAATTAAAATGAGACCCCACTTTATATAATTCTAACAAATATTTGTTGTCCATTTAACATATCTGATTAATGATAGAATTTTGTGTTGATTCTGTAGAATGATCAAAGTTAAAAAAAAAACTTTTTTCATTAAACATTAAAATGAGTTATATTTTCTGATTCAGTACGAAGAGACAAGAAAAATAAGACCCCACTTTATATAATTCTGTCAAATATTTGTTATTTTTAAAAGATGTTTTACATTAGACCTGTAGAATTAACATTATCTGACTAAAGATGTTAACACAACTTTTTCTCATCAACTTCTCATTAAAATCAAATGTTTACAAAATAATTTTTTGTCAGGAAACAAATTAAAACCTTTACTATCTGATTCAGTTCTGTGTTACGAATAAAATGAGACCCCACTTTATATAATTCTAACAAATATTTGTTGTCCATTAAACCTGTCTTATTAACAACATGATTTTGTGTAGATTCTGTATAAAGTGTTGTTTTGTCAGAGTAAGTAGATTATATCTATCATTACCTCGTCTGTGACGTCTAACTGACTGCCGTGAGTGACCAGGTACGTCACTACCTCCAGGTGTCCTCCCCAGGCAGCCAACATTAATGGTGTCATTCCTCCCTGTAATATCAACATATAACAGACATCAAAACTTGTGTCATAAACTGGACAATGTTGTGTAATAAATATAAACAAAATATATATCACATGAATCAGTGGTCAAAACTGAATAAAATGACCAGTCACACTTGTATTTATATTCTACATAAACAACAAATAAACAACATGTTTTATTGTGAGATGTCAGAACTTCCATCAGAACTGTCAGGTTAAAAAAAAAACTTTTTTCAAGAAACGTAAACAATATTTATATTAATGGACTTAGCTGGACAAGACAATTAAAATGAGACCCCACTTTATATAATTCTAACAAATATTTGTTGTCCATTAAACCTGTCTGATTAACAATGATTTAGTAGAATGGTCAAAGTTAAAAAAAAAAACTTTTTTCATTAAACATTAAAACAAGTTATATTTTCTGATTCAGTACGAAGAGACAAGAAAAATAAGACCCCACTTTATATAATTCTGTCAAGTATTTGTTATTTTTAAAAGATGTTTTACATTAGATCTGTAGAATTAACATTATCTGACTAAAGATGTTAACACAACTTTTTCTCATCAACTTCTCATTAAAATCAGATGTTTACAAAATAATTTTTCGTCAGGAAACAAAATAAAACCTTTACTATCTGATTCAGTTCTGTGTTAGGAATAAAATGAGACCCCACTTTATATAATTCTAACAAATATTTTTTTGTTTATTAAATCTGTCTGATTAACAATGGTGAATGATCAAAGTTAAAAAAAAAATAATTTCAAGAAAAATAAAAAAGAGTTATATTTTCTAAGTCAGATTAATGAGAGAGAAAAAATGAGACCCCACTTTATATAATTCTAACAAATATTTGTTGTCCATTAAACCTGTCTGATTAACAGTATTTTGTGTTGATTCAGAATAACATTATGGTAATATAGCAATGGTGATGAGTATAAGTGTGTCACTGCTATGCCACATGATGGTACTGAGTGTAAGAGTGTCATTGATATGTCACATGTTGGTTTTGAGTATCAAGGTGTCATTGTTATGTCACATGTTGATGCTGAGCATCAGAGTGGTATGGCTAGGTTACATGATGATGTTGAGTATAAGAGTGTCATTGCTATGTCACATGTTGGTGTTGAGTATCAAGGTGTCATTGCTATGTCACAAGTTGGTGTTGAGTATAAGAGTGGTATGGCTAGGGTTACATGATGGTATTGAGTATAAGAGTGTCATTGCTATGTCACATGTTGGTGCTGAGTATCAAGGTGTCATTGCTATGTCACAAGTTGGTGTTGAGTATAAGAGTGGTATGGCTAGGGTTACATGATGGTTATGAGTAAAAGAGTGTCATTGCTTTGTCACATGTTGGTGCTGAGTATCAGAGTGTCATTGGTATGTCACATGTTGATGCTGAGCATCAGAGTGGTATGGCTAGGTTACATGATGGTGTTGAGTAAAAG